GGGGGAAAGAAAAAAGAAAAAATATGTTTGACAAGAGAATCCCAAAGAAAGTGGGCTCAACTAGCTCCCTCTGGGATATGAGGAAATATCTTCCAGTTATCTGGAAAACATCAGCAGAATTCAACATATCAAAGCAGGATTTTAAGTTTGGCCTAAAGACTGACTACATTTTAGAAGAAGATTGAGCAATTGATGCCCTCTTTTTCCCTCTCACAACTTTCATACTTAACATGACAGGCTCTATTTCAGGGCTCTTGAAGAAGAAGATAAGGTGAAGGACAAGAAAAGGCTGCAGTAGCCAACCCTTCAGCCCACATAATGGTATACAAAAATCTTGTAGTAAGTTTTTCCATCCTCATGTGCAGTCATTGTTGCATTGAAGTAAGTCACACAATAGTTCTGTGACAGATATTTTCAAGGCCACATTTTCTCCCCTCTCCTCTGATATTAAAAAAAAAAAAAAAAAAGCTATAGCATGTTTTGTCAGTCAGGTCAGTGACCAGACCATATATAACCCAGATGAAGTTAAACTCCTCCACCACCACCAACTACCAACCCACCACATGATTATACAGTGAGACAAAACAAGATTGCAGACTAGAATATAAAACCCCTGTAATACACACAGGGAAACAAGTTTTTAATATTTTTTCCAGAATCATGCTTGACATCTAAGATTCAAAGAGGAAAGCATTAAGATCTTTGGCAAAAAAATTAGCATGATGTAACTAAAGTATCTTTTGTTAAGTAAAGTACAAATGAGGCCATAGAAGTACCTTGGTATCCACTAGTGCTGAAGACCAGTGCCAGGCTCTGCAAGGCTTTTCCTATCTTCTGGTATTCCTTGGGTAGTGCTGAAAGGGGGAAATGGATGGGGAAAAGCGGGAAACAGAAGCAAAAACCCACAAGGGTAAGTGAGACTAAGTCTGCAACACTTCCAAAATTTGTCAGAAGCAGAGGTCAAAACCAACTAGGTTTCAAATTTCTAGTGAGGCATTTACAATCACTTTCTTACTCCCTCCCCTGCTACAGACATTCCAAAACTGGATAAAGCAATTGCAGTCTGGATTCTTAAAAGTCACAAACAGCTGGGGCAATAGTGTACAACTGCTATGTTAAAAAAAATTTTAAAAAATAATAATACTAAAATCAATCTCACTGCACTCTTAGCTCAGTCCTCCTATGCATACAGTGAGATTTTTTTTTTTTTATTTCAACTCATGAGCAGACTTTATCCCCCTAGGGGGGAGGGAGTGCTGCAGTGATATGGAGAGTAGATCTCCTTAATAATTTCAGGGAGGGAATGATTATACAGACCTATAATACCTAAACTCTCCTTAAATAATGGATTTTATATTTAAAGGCACTAGAAACCAAGATTACCTAGGGACAAAAATTGATGCAAGTATCTGAATAATAAAATTGTTTTTATAATATATTTATTGAAAATGTATGCATAAATTGCTTCCTCACAATGACGTTGATAAGCTGTGATTTATGAGTGCATTCACTATTAACACTTTGGCTTCTACCACCCCAGAGGCCCAAAAAGCAATCTAAAAATTGAAAGCAATTTTTTCTAAACTACCTACACTATGAGAAAATACTCTAAGTAGATGTGCTTTTTGTTGTCAAATGTTTGTACTCAGAGGGTACACTGTCCAGGTAAATGGCAGTTTTTTAGTTGCTCTAGCATCTCACACAACCCAACTTTCACAGAGAAACACATTTGTGTGGTTAAAAACCAACATAAAACCCAAAAAACAAATAAACAAACCTCTCAAACCACATGATTTTATTGATTATCTTTAATCAAGTTATTACCCAAGAAGTTAGATTATTTATAACAACTGGTATTTCTTATACAACAATTACCATTCACAGTACTGGAGTTCTGTTATCAGCCATTAATTTGTTACTGAATCCCCAGTGGAAATTTCACTTGCACTTAAGAATTTTCCACTGTCAGTCATTTTAAATATCACAGAATGGAATGCACGTAACTATTGCTCAGGAAGTGCCAAAACCACTTACAACTAGGAGTTGGGACTAGAGCTGACAGGGAACTTAAAACCTGAAATTCTTCAGCTTTGCATGTCCTGATTTACCTGTCTCCTTTTTCTATTCAGTACAAATGTCTGGAAAGTTAAAAGTTACTATTTCCAATGCAATCACATCTGACTTGCTGTGTCTATGCTAACTAATTAATAGCTGTAAGCATTAGAAGATTCATTCCATACCTAAAGCACTAGTGTTGTAAGTTTAGGGAGATACTAGCAGTGAATAAAAAACTGAATTTCTACTGCAAGCACAACTCACAGCCAGCCCTTTACTATGGTAGTTTTGATCATTGCTTCTGTAACTGCAAAGCAATGCTATTTTTCTAGTCTCATCTGAGGGACCTTGTTCCTTCCCCTGCCTTTTGCTTCCCCCTTGGTCTAATTTCCTAGTGAAGCAAGATCTGTACAATGTTAGAGCTCTGTCCTGTGTTAGACTGTTTTTGACCAGCAGGAACATCAGTGATGTGTACAAGGAAACCTTCTTATTCAAAGTGGAGAAACATAAATAATTTCAAATTCACATCCTACAGATAATGAGGTCTAATGTAAAGAGACTGGGCTTCCCTCTGGTCAGCCCCAGATATTCAACTGCAGTGTTAGATTAGAAAGCAGCAAAGAGATCACTCAGGAGATGCACTTACTCCCAAGTCTAGGGACAATGTTTTTTTGCAGGAGTTAAAGAGAGGGGTGGGGGGGGAGATAAAAAAAAATAAAAAAAAAAAATTTAAAAAGAGATTTATGTGATAAGAAAGCAGCAAAGAGATCACTCAGGAGATGCCCTTACTCTCAAGTCTAGGGACCATGGTTTTTTGCAGGAGTTAAAAAGAGGGGTGGGGGGGGAGATAAAAAAAAAATAAAAAAAAAATAAAAAAGAGATTTATGTGATGGGTCTTTGGTCGCCAGACACTACAGCCTGCC